TAGAGGTTCCAATCTACTAGTTTTTAAGGCATTTACTTTTTTAAAACGAAATAAAATTTATTTATTAATTTATTTATTTATTTATTTATCATAACTGTCGCTCCCTAACATGCGGTCTTGTATGATATTATATAAAGCTTCTAATCGCTCAGCCATGCTCTTAAGAAATTCAAAGTCGATCATCTCACAGAAAACCAGCGTGAAGTAGAAGTTTACGTCTGCGTTTCGCTTGGTGAGTGCAGGTGGCCGGAGGCCCTTTTTACTGGAAATGAGGCATTCCATCTTAGTCCTCACGGGTGACAACGCATCTACATTTTGATTTGTAACAGAGGATAGATGTAGATGTCTATGGGCCGCAGCAACCACTTACCATCAGGTGGACTGTGTGCTCGTTTGTCACCCTTATCCTATAAAAAAAAATCATTTGCGAGAAGTTTTCAACGTTTACATCTGCTTCCAGCTTCGTCGCTGTTCGCTTGAAAAATTTTCTCAGTTTCTCTCGCTCCCGGTTTTCTTTAATCGCCGCTGCAGACTTCATTTTTATTTAATATTTGTACTCAAATCTTCCAAACTATTTATTTTATTATAATCTTAATCAGACTGACTTATTTGAGCACGAACTACAGCGAACATTCCGGACTTTTAATAAGTTAAATTCTTTGCCTCACGGTCACCATATGTGGAAGTTGCAATTAAAGACTTTTTCCTTGTTAACTATTTTGACCAATATTATGAAGACAATGACAAGTTAAAACAGTTACTAATCATAATATTTTTTTCATTCTGTTAAAACAGTTTTCAGAGTTATAAAGACTACTACCAAAGAGAATATAATACTACTACGTTCGCACGTACGCAGTCCACTGACAGCAAGTTTGCCTGTAATTTAGTTTACAACCTATTAAAAGTAAATTGCTGAACATAAGCAGCCCCAATAAATTGCTTCATACGAAGGGTATCGCTCATAACTACTACGCTTAACAGACGGGTTGGCAAACGCAGTTTTTTTATTATTTTTGAGTAATTTGTATTAGGACAATGCCTTTTTCTTTTTTTTTTAGAGGATAGGGTGACAAACGACCACACAGTCCACCTGATGGTAAATGGTTGCTGTGACCTATAGACATCTACATCTATCCTCAATAAAGATTCAAAATGCAGATGCGTTGTCGCCTGTGAGGACTAAGATGGAATGCCTCTTTTCCATTAAAAAGGGTCTCCGGTTCTCTACGCTCATACGAAACACAGCAGTGCTAGTCTGCTATTTTACGCTGGTTTCCTGTGAGAGCGTGGTCCTTCCCCGGTCGAGGCGACCCATTCGTGCTACAACTATACTACTAATATAGCTGCAGCACGGCTCTACCACGAACACATGCTGCTGATCATCTTCTGTTTCAGTTTTCCTTTGTCGCCTCCTACTTACTATAAGCTTATTTGGGAATTCTTCCTGAGTTAGGGGTATGGTATTCCAATCGCTTATCCGCAATAAGGTAAATATTCCCAAATGTTGTTCTCAGTAGTGGATTATAAAAGTAGGCTTCAGACCTGTTATTTGATATTTTTCTTTACTTTAACAGTTCATTTAAACAGTTCTCAAATCTCTGGTGTCAACGTGACTTATAATTAACTTCAATTATGGGTTGGGAATCGTATTATCAAGTTTGCATTTACTCGGAAAGGAGATTTGAGAATGCCTGGAAATAAGTAGGTTATTCGGGAAATGATTAAAAAGTAATTTTGCACAAATTTTGGTTTCAGCTTGGTGGTGGCCGCTCCACTACCCTATATTATCCCGTGGATGTCGAGAGAGGCGTCAGAGAGAAATTGAAGCAGGAGATGGGCAGCAGCATCTTCCTGATAACAACTCAGATTTAAAAAAAACTGCGGTTAGAGACAACACTACCAGACCCAAAAAGTAATTATGCTCAAATTTTAGTTTCAGCTTGGTGGTGGCGCAAGAAAATCCACTACCCTATATTATCCCTTAGATGTCGTGAGAGGTGTCAGACAGGAGATGGGCAGCAGCATCTTCTTGATAACAACTCAGATTTTAAAAAAAAACTGCGGTTTGAGACAACACTACCAGACCCAAAAAGTAATTATGCACAAATTTTAGTTTCAGCTTGGTGGTGGCGCATGAAAATCCACTACCCTATATTATCCCTTAGATGTCGTGAGAGGCGTCAGACAGGAGATGGGCAGCAGCATCTTCCTGATAACAACTCAGATTTTAAAAAAAACTGCGGTTGCCAACCCGCCTGTCAAGTTCGGCAAGCATGTGAAATCTCCCCCTTACGATGAAGTATATGGAAGAGGTCTATATTCAGAAGTGAACAACCTAGAATTGGCTGTATATGTATGTTGATGATAGGATGCTTACTAAGACAACATAAGCAAGTCATGTTGTGTTCGTAATTACGTACATACATGACATGTTATATTAAGTATCATATGTTCCTATTTCATCACACATTACTGTTAAAATGAATTCCCGTAATTTAAATGTCGTTACGTAAACTAGAACAAAGGAAAAAAGCATATTTGTGGAAATACGGTGAGTGAAATCACTCTCCTATTCAATTGAACGCAAGAGTTGTAGTGATATCGAGTTGCAAACAATGAAAGTGATTGCGTAACCATACTTCCCTGCATTTCCTAACAGCGTTAGCTCTGGCTCGTGATTGAATGTTGTAGATAGTGTAATATAAACATAATATAGATGATGGTATCTCAATAAATTTTACTACAAAATCAGTATTTCGCATCATTTGGACACATATTTGTAATTTAAGATGCAAACTACTCTTATTGTATTTCATCTAAAAAGCTAATAAATAATTTTTTAAGTACTGTTCTTTTCAGATATGTGTTAAACTATTTGTATACGAGATTTTGGCGGGAACTTGACCGCCGATGGATTTTTTAGTGGAAACAATGAAACAAGTGTTCTGATGGTGATGTGAACCTCAAGTAATTGTGTCTTCTTAGGCGCCTCGAGATACTATTATCAGCGACTAACAGCAAGCCAAAAATGTGTCCCATCAACATATTATGAAGAATTCTAAAGCAAATTATTTAGAAAAGAAATTATTTAAACAAGAAACAAAAGAAACGTTTGTGTAGTTACTATCACATCCTAAGAAAATCAACAGTCCTAAATTGAGGAAAAACTTAGTTAATAAATATTAAAAAAATCTTAATAAAATTGTTTTAATTTTTTTGAGATCGTGTTACCTACTAATGAATACATGATTTTTTCTTTGTTTATTTATTGTTTTCATATCATTCTATCGACTACGATAAAACTATTATGAGTTGTTGACCCTGTCGGCTAAGGTTGCTCACAAAACATTAATATATGCTCGTTGGTTCGTTTTCTATGAGTTCCACTCATCCGATTACGAGCATTGCAACGTATACCGTGCATAGCTATTTTGTAATGAAATTATTCATATAATATATAATTATTTATTACACATATATTACTCTTAAGTTCATCATACTCATTATTTACACAAATATTGCACTAACTTGATAAATCTTGAAGAAATTGCATCAGATATATCTCTATCAGATATTTTTGTAACTTGTGGCAATATAAAGGATGTAGATTCTCAGAAGGATACTTTGTGTTGGTTACTTGAAAGGTCTTTATACGGTGTAGGATTTAAGATGGGCTTTGATAATTAAAATTATAGTTATATTTCAATTTTGTCTGTGTATTTAAACAAAACAGGCGCTAGATGTCCGTAGTATAATTTATTAACTTCCTTCTGCGTAGCATTGAAAGGAAGTTAATGGTTTTAGCTGGCAGTCTGTTAGTCTGTATGCCGACACAATAACTTCCGTTCCACTGGACCAATTGACTTTAAATTTGGTATGTGGATACCTTGAGGTAGTAGCTCGGTCGAGTTTGAATTTGGGTCATGTAGGTCAAAGGGCACCAGAGATATGGGATTCACGCAGAAGGAAGTTGTTTTTCTTGAATTCACATTCAACTCGTTTTAGTCTTGTCTTGGATAGCATTGCCTAGTTGCGAGGAATCAGCAAATGCAAAGCAGCCCTTTATTTATAATTGACGATGTACTACAGGGCTCAGTTTTAGGACCACTATTTCTTCTTATATTCACAATTATGAATAAAAATAAGATTTGAGAACCAATACGACGCTAAGTAAATTTGTTTTCGAATTTATATCTTCTGTAATAAAAATATCTTCTAGTTAAAATACGTATACTTAGTCATATTTTAACTAGAAGAAGTTTGTCTAATATCATTATGAATAATAATTACCCCTAGTATTTAAATTTTCTATGTATCTATTTGAAAACACAATTAATTAACATGACTTTTGGAACAAAGATCCTTATCGGACGATACGAATTTGGCGTATGGGGGCTAGGCGAGAAAAAGTATAAGATTTTTCCGTCACGACCCCTTCCGACGTTGTATAGACGGCCCTGGCGGCAATAAGGAAGAGGGATGGAATAATGTCCATCTCCCTTGCGCTTTTTCTTATTTTATTATGGCAGAAATATTATTTTAAATGACGCTTCATTTTAATAGACGCTAGTGATTCATTTATTTGTATTTGTTAATCAATAATATAATACGTTTATCAATGATAATATACTACGAAAGGAACTGCGTTCCAACCGAGTGTTCCACGATACTCACGCATGTTTTATTTTTAAATGAGGGTCATTGATGCTTCACGATTATATTTTTTGAAGTGATTATTGAAAAAAATTAATGCACTGTTACTAAGTAAACATGAAAGGGAAATAAAAGATACATATTATTATATCTTATTCGATAATAATTTATTTTGATTACAGCATACTTACATCTATCAGTCTTATTTAATTATAATTTAAAAAAACAAAACAAATTGGTGTGCACGAATAGAACGTTTGATTATGAATTTAATTACATTTACATTGGGTGGTTGGTTATGAATTTAAACCTGACATTACTCTACGATATTCAAATGGGCCTATTCACTGCTTGGATGACCCTTTGTTGTCACTAGAGGTTGTCATTTGTTGTTGAGTGGCGTAAGAATTTTGAGTGTATGCCTGTGCTATATACGGCCCGGGGCCAACCTGCTCTTGCAACTTTTCGGCTTCCTCTGGTGCTACAGGACACATGCAAGGGACGAGCTGGACGTGTTGAAGTGAGACGGGAGTCAAACTAGCCCCAGCTGGTATACTGATGGGTATAGGCGACATGTTTTGCTGTACCGAGATCTCGGGCTGCTGGTACTGCTGTCCCTGCATCTGGTAAATTTTGCGATGCTCGTACGGGTACGTATATTGGTACCGATACTGCAGGGGAGACATATTCGGCGAAAGAGGTTGAACCCAGTTCTTCTGCGAAGACTGCGGCCTGCAACAAAGGGAGTTGTTACTATTCTCTATTTAATGTTTGTGTTGCTTATATGAGAAATGAGAACATAGAAGAAATATGTATTTGATTATGGATGGCATTGTTATCATTTTAATTACACGTCAACATAGTTGTAAAGAATTACGTGGTGTACATAAAAGTTGCAAGAAAAAACTGTTCGTCGAAATCAATTTCGCTTATACGACAAAACGGTTTATATACGGAAACGCGATAATAGTAGTTAGTATCGGCACTCAAAAGACATTCACATGCTAGGTATTACAATAAAAAATACTAACTGCAAATTTATAATGAATGAAAGCGGATTATCGAAGCAATTCTTTAAAACGTTTTATATAACATAAATTTCAGGAATTTGTATATAAAGTAGTAATGTAAAATCTAAAAAGAAGTTCATACAATCGCAAAGCATTTCAACTGCGTACCATACAGGATATTGAATATTGACAAATTCATATATTTGAACTAAATCATCTTAAATTATACATTTACAAGCACAAATTCGCCTAATGCATAACGCCAAAAGAAAATACTTTCGCAATGCCATTTCAAATACACTAAAGCAACTTTTAATATATTATATTTATATATATTTTAATACTATATATCTTTATCTTTATATATAAAAATTACATGTCACGTTGTTTGTCCGCGATGCACTCTTAAACTACCGAACTTATTTGAATGAAATTTTGCACACTGTGTGCATTTTTGACCAACTTTAGAGATAGGATAGTTCTTATCCCGATAAATGACCCTCAACATTTTTTATTGCGAATTTAAGGATTTTTATAGGAAGGGCCGTTGGAAAGCGTAGAACAACGTCTGCCTGGCGAGCTAGTTTGTATATATATATATATATATATATATATATATATATATATATATATATATATATATATATATATATATATATATATAATAGCTTCATAAAAACAAAAATCTGTTCAAGTAATTACTCAGTCACTACAAATAATATTTAAAAAAAGACAGATGTAATACAATCCATAGTTTCTAATCCAGACTTGCGACGGAGTGCAGCGTCAAAGATGCCAGAGATCTGGTACTGCAGTTGTCAATCCACCTGCCAAGCGTGACGATTACGACAGCATGTCCAGCAGTGGGCTTCTATGGGTTGAATAAGAAAAAGATGAAGAACATAATTCTGTTTTTATTGGGATACCTACGTTGAATCTGAACCCCACTTTAAGAAGAATGCTTCTGTTGAAGCAACCAGCACCAAGCTGAGCAAGACGCACATCTGTAAAAAAGATACACTCCATAAATATATTTCAGTAGATTAAAAACATATAATTATATATCGCTTGCTTTTGTTATGAGCGTGCACAGGCTTCATCTAATTTTTAAGAAAATTGTCAACTACTACTCGTACGTGAATTAGCGGACTTCACATTTCATATTCTTCACATTTTGTGGTTTCGTTTTTGTTAGTGTTTTTTTTTTTATCATCGGACACATACAACACTAAGTCTAAGGCTGCGTTTTCACTAGAGATGTTGAGCGGTGCGAGGTGGCGTAACAGACTTTTTTCACTAATGCTATGTGAGGAAGTAGTGTGTTACGAGTCTTGGGCAGGCAAGCGAGGTGTAATGTAAATAGCCGCAACACCACACGCCTCCCTTGCTTGCGTCCCTCGCACACATCTCTAGCTTGATTTGCATATGACTACTACGTGAGGTTAGTGCTCGTAAACGCGGCTTCTGCTGGCCAGGTTTTGGATCTCGGGAAGAGCCAAAAGTCAGTTACTGGGTTGTGTGCATGTAAAGTCGCTGATCCTGCGCCTGGTCTCTCTCCAGTCGTGTTAGATTACGGTCCCATCGGACTATGAATTGGCACTAAAATCCTATCCTGTGCTGAAGCCTAATATCTGCTCTGAACCTAAATTTGGTGTGATGGGCATTATGATATGTTATCATATTGGTTGATTTTTCTTCGCACAACCCTAAGCTAACTCGCGAAACCTTCGTGAAAACGCAGCCTAAGACTTGAGTGGTCGGTCGGTCGGCGAGCGGTCAATGGTATATATGAATCGGCGCTTCGACATACATATTGGTGGGGTATGCCGCAGATCGGTGCTTCCGCATACTATTATATGGCTGCTATATGACTGTCGCCATTCTATTATACATGCTGAACGCCCCACTCCCGGCAATCAGTTCTTACAGATAGTTCCTGATCACCCATTTTGATATCGTTATTACCAAGACACTATGTAAAATAATTGGAGTTTAAGAAAACCTAGTGAGAATACAAGGTTATACATATTGAATTGTCATCGGTTCAAATTTCAATATTATAATCTATACAAATAAATAAAATTGAAGTGTATGTTTGTAATGTCAAAATAACAGCTTTTTACTAAATGCATATTATACTCTCATATATACGGTACATATAACAAAAACACGATTTTTTAAATTTTTGTCTGTCTGTCTGTCTATTTGTTACTTCCGGCTAATCTCCGAAATAGCTGGACCGATTTTGACGGGACTTTCACTGGCAGATAGCTAATGTTATAAGGAGTAACTTAAGCTACTTTTATTTTAGAAAAATTATTAGGGTTCCGCGCAAAAAACTTAAAATCCATAAAATCTAATCGTAATAAATTCCACGCGAGCGTAGTCTCGGGGCACAGCTAGTATAATATATAAAATAAATAAAATTTTAGATTATTCAGACATAAGTGAAAACCGAATTACAAAATTCTATTACTTGCATACAGATTAAGCTAATATTAAGTGTATATTGAAAAAACAACCATTTTTGGTATGTACTTCACATACAATTGATAAATAATAAATTGAAATTGTTCCTTTGATGCCGGTTCAGACGAAAATCAGCAATAGAGGTTTCACCGACCGACTAGAGAGAGATATAACATCTGTACAAACGGAGATATATAACATCTGTACTCTACAGACAGAAAAGAAAAAGTCATCAAGTTAAAAATTATATTATCTTTAGTTATGATAACAAATGTAAAATTAAAATGCATAATACTGTATCACGTTGATAAAAAATAAAAATACTAAATATATAATTTTTCTGTATATGTGATTGCCGGTAATTACAGCTCTCAACAAAAAAATCTGCAAATTAAAAGAATACGAATAATTAGCTCACGTATCATGATTGTAGATTATTGCATCTGTAGAAAGGAAAGCACTTAGATCATAACAAGGAAAGAAGAAAAAAGTACAAAATAACGTTGTTAAAACGTAGAATGTTTTAACACATTAAAATATGTTTCATAGTAATTACATGAAAATATAATTTCGGTTTGGCTTGTCTAATCGTAAGTTTTAAGTCGAATGTAGAGTAAGTGACCGCAGAGCCTCGCTTTGACAATAGGAATGCTGCTAACCATTGCCAATTTTGTGAAATTTTAATTCACCGTTTCTGGATAGAATGTAACCATATCACAGTTTAAAGACTGTTTGTCAAAGATTCATCCGTCAGTAGGGTACACCATGTTAGTAGGAGACAATTTAATATTTATAAAAATTAAATATAAATAATTTAAAGTAAAAAAATATATGGATTACACGTGTTATATCTACGTTTTAATATATTACCGGATATGATATGAAAATCTTGGACGTGTAGATTGGTTTTGCAGTTTTTTTTTATAGTAGGTACGTTTTACAAAGGTATCATAAATATATTTTTATAGAAAACTCACGCACAAACGAGTACGTTTAAGAATCTCAAATTTAGGCAAGCGATGAAACTTTTATACCAACAATTTTTTCATGGCAAGGTCTGTTGCACAAATGTTAAAACATTGTTATAATAGTATAGTCCCACCAACTTATCTGTGAACTGACAGCTGCGGCAAAATTGTGAACTTTTAGACAGACCATTTCAAAAATAAATGGACATTTGATTCATCATTTGTTTATAAAGTCTAATAATTATGTACATTGTCCAAATTTAGTCGTTTTAGATTGCGACTATTTACTACTTAAAACTATATCGTCACTTACATGCTCTTGTAGTTAAACTTAAGTAGGTACCTAAGGTTTGTATTTGGTAACAAAAAGAAGACTGGTACTACAAACAATGGGAGAGGCCCATATCCAGCAGTGGACTCTTATGAGATGATCAATAAGAAGAACTACATCATCATTAATTTTGATTTTGTAGTTATCTGACAGATTATTGTCAATGATTTTTCAGCATCATGTAAAAATAGCTTTTGAATATAGCTCAGAATCGGATGACAATGTCTACAAGGAGAAAATCGCGTATATTAAAGTTTATTAGTTCAAAATTAAAAAAAATAACTTGTTATAACATACCCTTTCACCAATGGTATAGAAGACCGAAGAGTAACAACCTATCCCTTTGTATTACAGATATAGACTATGAAAAATCCTTTGACTTCGTTTTATTTTCTGACATCAAAATGATGTAAAGACTTTTTAACATCTTATAAACGGCAAGGCGAGCATTTGAAAACTTGTGAAGAGTCAGTTCTTAAAGCCCTTCCGAAACTATATACTTCCCCACCGAATAAGCACGATTCCGATATAATTTTTGCCATAGATCCTAATTATATATACCTAGCTACCTCTCCATAAATTGTTGTACAGAAAACCAAAGAATAACAATCTATGACTTTGGATTACGTATGCAGACTATGATAATACACAGGTCAAAATGTTCAGAATAAGTAATACCTACGAAAATGGTGAAAAAAAATTAATTTAAAAAAATCTCTAATATTCTGTTCTTTTTATCTTTTAAATTCAAAATGCGTGATAATGCATTATTTTAACCGATTTTACAACCATAGCGTTCTACAATAGCGCATGCGCTAAAAATAGATCGACAACAGCGCATGCCTCTAGCGAACGTACGTACTCTACTAAAATGCACGAAATGATGCATGCGAACTCACCGGAGACAGCTTTCGCTAGAGGCATGCGCTGTTGTATAAATTGCATGCGCTATGGTTGCTCAGGCAAGCGTTTGAGGAAGACGCAAGATGAACAGGAAAGTGCACTGGTGTCGACATACCAATAGAAAATTACAGAACATCAAATGTGGCACCACAAGCACAAAGATTACATAAATAAAATAAAAACAAACAACGCGTTGATTTCACTGAGCCAAAAATATAATTATGATGTAAACGGTTTAAAAACAAGATAAAGAGCTTGAGATCATACTTCTCAACGGAATATCAAAAAATTACGATGAAAAAGAGTGGATCCGGAACAGAAGATAATTGCGAATCTTCGTGGTTTGTCTAACCGAGGCGCGTTAGGTACAGACGAGTTGAATGAGACAAGCGCACGGGTATAGACGATAAGCTGCATTCATCTTATGACACAGCGCTTGACGCAAGACGAACTGAAAGTTGAAACGCAAAATGAACTTACACTTTGCGTCACTTCACACAGCTTACACGTTCACAATACAATACTTTTAATATAAAATGCATTGGAAAGCACATTTAAAACTGTTGTTTGAAATACAGATATAAACGTTAATATTTAGAATCGTATCATTTGTCTTGTCGGCTGATTGCTCAGCTAAAATAACTTAAATTTAAAATAAAAAAAACTCCCGAAACAAAACGAGCTGATGATCATCAAACGGCTGACCAGATTTGCTTGAAGCATCGCTAAGAAATATCTCGATTAAGACACCTTTCCAACGAAAAATCTTAATCATAATGGTATATCCGGTAATGAGCTATAATCCCACAGACAGATACACAGATACACATATACACAAATACACACTACAAACATAATTATAATACCCCTCTGTTTTCGTTTTCGTAAATAATTATTATCCACTTAGTCCAACCAAAGTATTTAATGTCAAAATTATAGTTTACATGCGAATCTCTTTGCCTAAAGAAGTCAAATGAAGGGTCTTTATTGGAAGGAATTTCCTTATCGGACGGTACGAATTTGGCGGATGGGGGCTAGGCGAGAAAAAGTGTAAGATTTTTCCGTCACGACCCCTTCTGACGTAGTCGGGAGACGGCCTTAACAACTATAAGGAAGCGAGATGGAATAATATCCATCTCCCTCGCACTTTTTCTTATCTTGCCATGAAAGAAATAATATTTTATGTTAAATGACGCTTTACTTAGTAATTTATTTATTTGTATTTGTTAATCAATAATATAATACATTTATCAATATATAATATACTACGAAAGGAACTTCATTACAACCGAGTGTTCGACAACACTCACGCGCATTTTTTTTTAAATATGGA